AATAGAAGTGGATTTGAAAGAAGATAGGGAGGTGGACAAACTAAAATCTAGCATCAGGTCATAAAATGACTGACTGTTGTTCTAACACATGTTGGTAGGTGCAGATTACCTTGCTGAGGTTCACTTGTATGTCGTAACTAGTGCTTGCATATATTGAATGCTGTTTTAGAATTGGTCCCAATGGTGTATATGCATCCACTGTTTGTTTTCGGGCATGTTCTGAGTTTCAAAATTAATTTTTTATCCTTTATTCCCCGAATCCAATAATTCTTCTTAAGACATGTTCTCTATCCCTAATCTATTTTACTCTTAATATTTCAACTACATTGGTAACTATCATAATAATTTTATTTTGCTTTGATAATGTAGTGTAGAAACTTCAGACGATACACATTTTTACCAAGCTCTACTTTGTTTATTATTGGCTTTAAATAATAATATTAATGACAATTAGTATAGACACACAATGCAATCAAAATGATGTACAAATCAGTCAATTTTTTTAATTTTCCATCACACATTGCTAGCGTTTCAGTATTATATAGTGCTAATAATAATAATAATAGATAAACAAATAATAGGTTAACAATATAGTGAGTAATTTGAGACAGAAGTTTCAATTCATATAAATAAAAGCAACAACAAATAACATAATAATACATTAGCTGTAACTGTAATTTTTCAATAAATCATTTTTTCCCAACAGACCTACCAGGTGTGCTGGGAGATATCAACTCACTGAAGACATTGGTGAAATGGTTGCTCAACTTCATGGATTGGTTGAATTCAGACATTAACACCGTTGGATGCCGGCCGGCTCAGTGGTCTATCGGTTAAGGGCTCTGGCTCGAGACTGGTAGGTCCTGGGCTCGAATCTCGCGAGAGCGGGTTCGTGGATGCGCACTACTGAGGAGTCCCATAATAGGACGAAACGGCCGTCCAGTGCTTCCAGGTTTTCGATGGTGGTCTAGCTTCAATTGACTCATGATTTCAACTATATATAAAAATGATTCTTTTAAATAGTTGAAATCATGAGTCCATTGAAGCTAGACCACCATGGAAAACTTTCCACTGACTCATGATTCCAAATACCAAAAAAATTACTAAAATCTCCATAAAACCCCCTTCTTAAAATAAAAATAACACAAATGAATATGATTTATGATACTGGTTTATTACTTTTCATGACCTTTATTATGAAGAGAAAATGGTATTCAATAACCAATAAGACTTAAGTGTCATTTTATTGAATTTTCTGAAGGTCACTTAAGTGTCTTTCCATGTACGTGAATTTCTTTGATAAACAAAAACACATTCAAATTCGTTGACCTACTAAAATTTTTTCGCTTCGAAAAAAAAATGAAAAAAACGACACGTACTATTTATGTTGATTTAACTTCATTGAAAAGGTATTTACGACCACTAATAGTTTATGAAAGCATAGTCACATAAATACGTATGGTTTCTTTTTAACAAACAATACCATTGTATTTTCCTCTTTACATTAAAGAAATATTTGTTATTGTTTTGAAGTATATAAGGTTATAACAGATAATATTTCAAAATCTTCAACTCCTTATGCTGAATTAAGTTCAGTTACGGTAGCATTATGTAGAGGCAATAAGTTTCACTGATCGATGACAAGCTCAAATCATAGTATAGAGGCAGGTCAACAATGACAGTGACATAACCTGTGGTATTTAAGTGACTTCCAACCTATGAACAAAGTATGTACAAATTAAAAATATTTTGAAAAGCAAAACAACCTGTTTTTGTTTATAGAAAGCTCATTTGATGTGAGCTGAGAAGTATAGAAGCCATGACAAACAGTGGAAACTATTTTTGGAGAAGTTATTTCACTTAATTAGAAGCTTTTAAGAGAATAACATTTAGTTTTGTCCCTAGTTTATTCAACAAACCATAAGCTTTCAGTTCGTGTATGATTCACTGTCGTACCCCTTTCCGTTCCAAAACTATTGTAATTTAAACGTAACCTTTGATACTCTATTTTTATAACCTAATACCCAGTTAGAACATAATTGTATTTTTCTAATTGTCCCATTTATTTGTATGGGATTTATTCAAGCTAGAGGTTTTCCTATGACTCGTCCTCCTAGCTACAAATACCTTTCTGGAGAAATTATCATTGCCTACAAAATATTTGCTGGTAATTCTACTGGGAAGTTAGAGCGATGGACCCATAAGTCAACGATGATTTTTCCCATATTTATATGGGAAAGACATGTACAATAATCACTATCTATTTTTGCATTCCTACTTCCCCAACCTACTGATTATTTAGTGATTCACTAATAAAATGACTTATTTGATAGTTCGCTATAAACGAAGTAAACTAAAAAAACTGATTGGTTTATGTACACAAAAGTGAGGATTTCATATGTTTAAGTCATTTCTGCCAGATGATAACGAAAAAGAATGACTTCCGACAACTATATACTTCGGGCGAGCATATTTCTATAAATATTTTTATGTGATACAAACTGAAATTCACGAAAAACCACAGTAGTTTCCTCGATTCTGATTGACTCAGCCTTATAATAAATGGAATCTGAACACTTTTCTAACACGATTGGCAAAAGTGAAAGCTGACTGGTCACTGTGACTTTTGTTCTTATTCTAGGTGAACCACTTGTCATTTGATAAGTGACTCTGTCACATTATTTCATTTAGATATTTTCAATATAAACATTTTTAATCGATTGTCCATTAGTTTTGTTTATTAAATCCTTTACGGTTGCTATTCAGGTATCGGTTCTGTAAGTGAATTTCCAGTTCGGTCTTCATCAACCGTTCCATAAAGTTTAGTAACCGATCGCACAGTAAAGACACTTACACTATTAACCTGACAATAGTCAAATGCTAATTAAATTAGTGATAGATTACTTTCCACAAAACTTATTGAGAAACATGCAGTAACAAACTACTTGTAAGTAATTCAGAAAAACATACAAAAATTGAACGATCTATTATGATGAAGACGCAATAAACAACCGAAGTTCTTCCGTGGAAAGCTTCCCCAAAGTATTTTCGCCTTTGGATTTCACCACAATGTTTCAATCCTTTTCAAAGATACACTCAGTCATTGACAAGAATATAAAAAGTCACATCTTACTTTGTCACTCTACCTTCATCATAATTAGTCATTAGCAAAGTTACAATTGAAAAATTCAGTGACTTTCGTCAGTTTATCCAACTTACAGTGGTAGTCATCTCGTGAAGTCATTTAAACTAGTATCCAAGTTTAAAATGTAGATCAAAGCTTTATGGGTCCCATGAAATCCCAAAGAGCTATGGTAAGTTAAATTGGAATTCGGGGGGATTAAGATCCTTAACTGTTATATCCTGTGGAGATATATGAATGGTAACTTTGGGAACTATTTATGGATATTTCCTATTGTATAATTGTTAAGTAACTTAACTATTCATATTCATGTTCCTTTTATTATAAGTTTTATTTTGACCTATGAACTATTATTATACGATTTACCATTCTTGAGTTATCCCTAGTCCATTACTTACTGTTCCCCCTACTCACAACCACATCTTGTACAAATGTTATTTTCTATTTTATGGTACGATGTGGTCAGTTTGTTTGGTATATAAACTCGGTATGTTTGAGAATAATGATTAATATTGCAGAGGCTGTTATTGGTGTTCTGGACTTAACTGGCTGGGCTAGGCAGAAAGCAGGACTGTTAAGTACTCAAGGCTGCTCATCCGGCTTTTGTGTATCATTGGATCAGATCGATAATTCACTCCTCTCTGACTGGCGGGAATCAGCACGTTCATATATAAACAGGGCATACACACGCTATAACATTAATCAGATGACTATGCTGAAATTATAACGATTAAACGGAACAATTAACGCTAACGTATTAAGCACAACGCATTTGTAAATCAAAATTAGGTAGATCTATGTCCAAAAATGAAGTAATGATTATCTGAGAATATTGACCAATTGTCCGTCCTGTTTCACGAGTCCTCAGAAGTTTGTACTCTAGCCTTCATCATAAAAGCAGGGCCTAATCCGTAGCGTAACATAAGTTCAGTCTAGTTTGGGAAATTTTACTTGAAAAGGGGAAATATTGCAACAGTAAAAGTTTGGAAAAACTTATAACGTTTTTTGGTTGCTTTGTTCATAACTAATTTTACATTGAACGTTAGCGAAAATAATTGATTTGGTAACAAAGAATTGATTATCTTGATATTAAGAAACCTGACACTAAAAGATGACGTAACTATGAAGGACCATCACATTGTTTGACTTTTTTAATATCACTGGTATCAGATTAGCCATTTACTGTTTATGAGCAGGAAATCGGATTAAAAGTGTGCATTTGCACTTCTATAAGCACAGTGATGATTTAGGATATGAGACTTATTATGAAAGATGAGTGAGTGACTAGATGAACTTTTCGTTACATTGGTTAACCAAAGATAAGGAAACGGTCAAATGAAATAGGACCATTAGCTCGACCTTTGAAATTTATACTATGTATAAAAAATGCCAGAACGACTATACATTTTCGGATACAATACTTTCTGATAGTTTAAGGAGTGCATATATTAGCAGTGACTTATTTTGGTGTCGTGTCCTCTAAGACAGATTGTTTAATCGTGTCTTTCTTGACAATAACATGAGTGCATAATTTAATAAGTGACGCCTCTCTTAGTTTAAATCCATGGCATAGCTTTACATATATCAATACATGTAGACAATTATGGACATTAGATTGACTGAGAAAACATGGAAACAATGTGAAAAGAAAATGCAAAGAATGTCAGATAATTTTTTAGAAGTTCAGAAGTCTGGTGATAAATCAATAGGCCTATAGAAGTCAACTCAGACTCTTAACTAATGGAGAAAGGGATAAACAGCTGCAAGATCAGAGGTAAAAGCAATTGAAACAGCTATGCAAATAAAGGCCACGCAACAGTGGACAAGCAACCAAATTCTAGTTCAACAAAACAACGTGCTAGAAATTTGTAGAGATATTCTAATGAACCACCTCTTATTGAAGTGTGTGTATTGATACTGTTGTCGGAAAAGATGATGAAAGGTTCACGATTAAACTGTCTAGTTCAGAACAAAATGCCTTCAAATGTTCATCCCGGGCTACAAATATTCTCCATAATCTCGGTGATTTATTGAACAATAAAACGGAATACAAGTAATCATCTAATTAATTATACTACGGGTTACTTAAGTTTATTAAGGCTTTATACAATTTGTTGATTTATACGTATCCATAAAAGAACTTCTAAGGAAATAAAATTAGGGAGTAAGTTCAACACGTAATCATAGTTGTTTAATGTTGCATACGAACAAAGTATAAATTGAACAGAATATTCAATTTCAATGTGTATCACTAATTAGATAGTTCAAATTAAGAAAAGCAGAAATCTGTGAAATAAAATTATTATTTACACATGAATACCAGTTTAGAAAAGAATACAGAAAGACGGAAATCATTTAGTCAGTTAATTCATCAGCTAGATCAGATTGGCCAAAAGTATGAGATATAAGATTGATACATAAATTGAAAAATTTAATATCTTCAGCGACAACACTGCACTGTTTCACACTATTATCACTGGTAGGAAATGATGACTGTTCGAAATCCTGTGGATAGAAAACAGTTGTAAACAAAATCTATACCTTACCCGTCTTAATTTGCGGCATCGTTTAACGATAGTGCGAAGATCATGGCATAAATCTGGATGAAATGGTGGTTCCAAAGCCACCAGAAGAGAAAAAATCCACACGTTCTATTGACGAAAAAAACAATATATTTTACACATGCAAATAAATATGGCACAGGAAAGTAAGCAGATTTTTTGTCATGTGATGCTTGGTTAGGACAGTCACTTCTTATGAGAATGATGCATACACAAATATTTTTAAAAAATGCTGGTAATCCGGTTAGCTGTAAGTTACCAAGTTAAGGTACGTTTTAAAGAGATTCGGTAACGTAAACATGAAATATGGTATTGCCAGGAAAGACAAATAAATAGCACCTAAGTAATTAAAATTAACGGGTCATAAGCATAAAATATCTGCAGACTGTAAACTCAATTTTCAAAAGTACACCTAGTGTCCACGTACACTTCTGGTATTAACTGTAGACTGATTTCAATAATGAGTTATATTAATTGATGAATATAAAAATAGCTTTTGCCCTGGGACAAAAATCAACTAAACTATAGTTGTAGTAGTAGTAGTAATGGAAATAAGTGGTTATGGACCGGGAAAATTAACTCATATTTGAACATGATAGTCGACTGAACCCTTGTTTTAAATATATTCATTACCATTTTAGATACCTTTTTCAATAGATGATTGCTGGCTAATCTATTAAAATTTACTAGATATTGCTCATTGTTAATTTCAAGTTAAGCCTTTATATTCAACTAATTACTCCTGTCATGTATGTACCCTTTTATGCCCGAGGAATGCTTAAATAACGTGTTCTTGGCACTGAAACTCTGAATCCGACGATGCGCACTAAAAACACAGACTAGTGATATGGATTTATTTGACACACATAATAAATTAAAATGATGCATGAATACATCACTTTTGATATAATTTATTTACAGTTAAGTTTGTATAATTTGAACTAAGTAATGTTTCACATCAATTAACCAATAATTTACGATGCGAACGCATTTTTTTACAATAACATATTGTGGTGTATGCTACTTATGTTGACAGATATAAGTAGTATGTAGCAGCAATCGGAAGCGCAATGCCTGCCAGCATAAGATTGAATTGATGAGAACAGGGAGTAATTGGAAAAATAATAATAGAATTGGAAGAATTAGGAAGTATGTTAACGACAACTGAAGGAAAATGTCCAAATAATGTACTTATTGTATGATTTTCATATTTTACGAAGTGTAATTTTGCAGAAAACAATATATTTTTTTCCCCGAGTTTTCGTTTACTACAATACAATTAGACATTTATGAGCAACAGATATAACTAAGTGACTAAGTCATACAATTATATCTTCTCAAAATGGGATTACATGTCACAAACGACCAATTTTATATATTAATCGCAGTCCAATCGATCGAATCGTTGCTCCCTATATCAACGTTTTTTAATACATAAGTGATACTCTTATTTTTTAATTGAACGTAAACACTCCATAGCTGATATATTTTTGAGTTCAATTAAGTACAGATAAACAACTGGTGAAGGCTTTTACTACGCAAAGATGTTATCTTTACTAATTTAACAATGAAAAAATCTTGTGAATTATGAAACACCAAAAATGTACTTCTTATTTGACTGTGATTTTGTAAATACGTATTTTTACTAAAGAAATGATAAGACTTTACAAAAGAGTACAATCATTAATCGATGGATGGTGTATAATTATACAACTTATGGTCAAATGGTGGCTGCTCAGGAGACCGTATTATTGACGTAGACCCTCGAAAGATTTGAAATCGAAAACAAGACATAACCAGATGGGTTGATTTTTTGCGAGATAAGATGACATGTTTCCATACAAAACATTAACACGATAAATATGATAAAATGTCAGGTGACTGAAGGACACTAGTTTGTAGATCACTTATTCTACAATTAATTAAGACCTGACTATTAGACTCAATTTTTGTTTATCATATCAGACTCTGAAATTGTGTAAAAAGTAATTTACTACGTTAAGACTAATATTATCATCTGATCGTATCAACAAAATATGTAAGTGGACAATCATAACCTGTGTTTCCTTATTTTAGATTAAGTTTATTTTCGCTTACCAGAAAATTATTACATTTTTATAATTCTTTTTCTCATAGCAGTAAAATTAAATTAACTTACCAATTTAGAACTCCAGTGCATTTTGGTACATAAGGATGCAACCAAATTAATCAATGTCATAATTTCTGACTAAATAATGAAATGGACAGAGGTGAGATAGATATAAAAAAGTAAAGTTTAATACTACCCTGGTGCGTTGAGCGATCCAAGTTAAGGATGGAGAGTGTTCAAGTATTGTTGTTTTATTTATTGGAATAACAGTTTTTGTCTATAAAAACGAAATTATAGAAATAAATGCACTAAATTAGTTTATAAATCGTTAATTTATAAGTAAATATAACTAATTAGATCAGACTAATGGTCTCATTCGTACGCTTTTTTTTAATTTTACCAGTTGGTATAGGTAGTGTGGTGAAATTTAGCTTTGCTGCGACATGATATTCAGGGTGCCTTAGACCTTTTTAGTCCTATTGCATATATATTCCTAATGGGGAAGTGATTTAGTGATTAAGACGTTCAACTTTTAACCACCTGGTTGCAGACTCAAGTCCTGCTCCGCCTACTACGGTTTGGGTAAACAAATAGTATCACTAGTCTTTACTCAGTGTGGCTCAAAACAGAGTACAAGAATTTGTGCTTGGTGAGTTGCATTTATCTCTCTACCTAGTATACATATCTTTCTGTATTTAATTCTAATATCATATTACTAAGTCATTCACTAGCAATGTGGAACATAGCCCAGATATGAATCGGTCAAAGTTTTGTAACCATATCAGCACAAAAAAAGAAAACCGATACGATAAATAGATTAAAACTAATACCAGAGACCTTGGAAAACTGAGCAAAGAGCATATGGTTCGGAAAGGACAGTAGTATCAGGGGAATGAAGTTTTTGGAATAACTCAAGATTTAAAAGATGAAGAATGAACACAATCACACGTCGCCTTTAAGGCAATAATGACATATTTAGACGGAGATCACCATCGTCGTGCAGACTCTAACAAGGAAGCCTGAACCTACTGATATGACTCGAAACAATAGTCAGTGACTGCATGGACTAATGTCAAGTCTTGGTTCGAGTGTCTCTAACTGTTGCCAACTTATTCCTATACAAACCGGGAATACAAGTCAGTGTAAGCGGTCGAAGAAGCTTCATAGGCTTATCAGCCTATTTTTCATCTTTACCCAGTGCTCTACATTTAAATTTACCATTGTTTACTCAGTGATTTCATCATAACCCAGCGGTGCTACGAAGATATGGACTAGTAGCGTATGCATATTCTCTACCTCCAAAGAACAGGTTTTGAAGCCACAAAGAGGATTGGTTCTTAGTGTACTTTCCCCTTGATGTTCCTCAGTTAATTTTACAAATAGATCTGTCAGTTCTTATAGGTTAGAAAGAAAAGCCGTTAATACTGGTCGAAAATGGCTCAAACTTATAACCCAGTCAATTTTATTATTAAGTGTTAGTATATGGTTGTAGAGATTGTTGACTTTAAATTGATATGGCGAACGGATCAATGATAGACCACCAATGAAAACCTGGAAGCACTGGATAGCCTTTTTGCCCTAGTATGGGACTCCTCAGCAGTGCGTATCCGTAATTCTGCACGCGACACTTGAACACATGACCTTCGGTTTCGCAAGCGAACGCTTATTTATTATTTATTTAAACACATGAATATTGGTACAAGGAAGCACCAGATAAATATGCGCCTCACAAATCTCATTCGATTTGTGTGAGGGCTGCGATACTGCCCAGGTGCCCAGACTGAAGCAGGTGGTTTTCTTAGGGGGCCACACCACGAGCCTTTGATCTAAAGGTCTAACCCACAAGGCAGTGGAGCATCGTGAGGAGATTCAGTCCCATGGTAGACGGTGACCAACAATTGGTTCATACGCCATTCGTTCCTTCAGGATCCTGGAGCCCATGTGCACTATTGGTTTAGAATCAGGATTTTCCTACTCCCCTAGGTGGACTTTCCGTGTCCACCAACCCGGTTAAAGCGCCGGAGATTCGCTTTTCGTCCTCTGACTTTTGTGAACAACACCCCCGCCACGAGAAGGCAGTGAGTAGGACTTCCCTCAGTCAGTCAGTCAGCGACAACGTAGGACCAGGCACATATATGCATCGGTCCAAGTTGCCATACCTCGTTAGCACAACAAGATGAACACCGGATTCATAGAAGTAATTAATGTAGTGGTGGTAGTAGTATATAAATTATAGGTTGTATATAAGGATATAGTACAGGAAGGAGGAGAGATATGAAGCAATTTTAGTCTCAAGGTTTAAAGGAAGATAAAGAGTGTATACACCTACGCCATTGTGATCGATTCTGAGCCATGTCACCTAGAGTCTCCAACCATTGGTTACGATAGTCACGCGCACCCCAACCAGGTAGTCTGCATCTGCCAACATGGTTCAGACTAGAAGTTAGTGACTTCAAGCACTGATGCCATGTTTTGGTTTGGCCGCCCCTAACTCTCTTCCAACCATCCCCTACACTAGTCAACATTGCGCGTCGTGGTAATCGGTGTTCAGACATACGTAACACGTGGCCCAACCATCTCAGTCGATGAAGATTCATCACCTCATCAACTGATTTACCATCATTCCCTAATACCCTGCGTCTAACCTCACTATTACTTACCAGGTTATCCCAGCAGATGCGAGCAATATTTCTAAGGCATCTGTGGTCAAATATTAGTAACTTACGAGTATCTTCTACTCTTAATGGCCATGTTTCGCAGCCATAGAGTAAAACAGAACGAACTGCTGCGCGGTATACTCGTCCCTTAATTGATAGACGGATATCTCGTCTTCGCCATAGGTGACATAAGTTGGCAAAAGCCAAACGAGCTTTTTGAATCCGTGCTGAGATTTCGTCAGACACCAACCCATTAGGGCTGATCAGACTTCCAAGATAAGTGAAGTTGTCGACGCGTTCGACTACTTCACTCACTATCCTTAGTTCGGGTGTTGACGCAGGCCAGTCCTGGAGTAACAATTTACATTTGGATGGAGAGAAACGCATCCCAAACGTCCTGGCATTATTACTCAGTTCCAACAGAAGACTCTGCATTTTGTCAGTGTCTTCACCAAATAGGACTATGTCATTTGCGTATTCTAAGTCGATAAGTGAACCTCCTGGTAGAAGATCAATTACTGAAAATTCAGTGGACGAGAGCGTTATTTCGAGCAACACGTCTATAATGAAGTTAAACAAAAATGGGGATAGTGGACAGCCTTGACGGACACCACTTGAGGTTGTAAAATCATATGACAGTTCGCCATAAGCTCTCACTCGACTGGTAGTGTTCGAGTAAAGAGCCTTCACAAGGTTTATGTACTTCTCAGATACACCTTTCAATGACAGACACTGCTACAGAACCTCTCGGTCTACAGAGTCAAATGCTGCTTTTAAGTCAAGAAAAACTATCATTGTCGGACGCCGATAAGCATTTCTGTGTTCTAAAACTTGACGAATGGTGAATATGTGGTCGATACAGCCACGACCAAGTCTGAAGCCAGCCTGATTTTCTCGTGTTTGCAGTTCACGAGTCTTAGTTAGGCGCCCCATAATTATTGAGGCTAGTATTTTAGATGCTATGTTAGTCAGACTAATCCCTCTATGGTTATCACAGGATGATTTTGACCCCTTCTTATACATTGGGACAATCAGAGATTGTGACCAGTCAGATGGGATTACGTCCGTCTCCCAGATTTTAGCCAGAATATTAGTCAACCTAATCGCTAAAATTGGACCACCATATTTAAAGACCTCTGGAGCCAATCCATCAGGGCCAGCTGCTCTTCCTCGTTTCAGATTACTTATAGCCTTTTGAACTTCAAGTAGGGTCAGGGGGCCTACTTCAATGTTCCATTCAGGTTTTCTGGGAATAGTTGGTAGTTGTGCAGTAGCTGAGGGCCAGCTAAACTGCTCCTCAAAGTGTTCCGCCCATCGTTCTAAACTTTTGAGTCGAGAGCAGATAAGGGTTCCATCTTTTTCCGAGATCGTCTCACTTACACTTGACTTCTTAATTCCGGTTTCTTTTATTAGTCTGAATAGCTGCCTGGTGTTGCCTACAGCCCCTGCCTTTTCCATCTCTTTTGCTTTCGTTGCCCACCACTGCTCACGATCGTTCCTTAGACTTTTAGTTAACCTAGATCTAATTTCTTTACGCTATTCGTCGTGTTCAGAGCCTGATGGGATGAGTTTACGCGAATCCATCAGTGAAATGGATTTAGAAGAAATCCACTGGTTTTTTGGAGCCCTATAGTTTAAATAACTAATAAATGTTACTGCTGTTTCCACAGCTGTTCGTGTGTCTTTCCAAGCAGCATCTGGGTCAGTCTCGTTTACAGAACTGCCTAGATGTGAACTCAGTTGTTTCTAGAATTCGCATTTGGCTTTCTCGTCCTCCAGTTCAATCCTAACGGGTCTTCTTAGTGTACTTTTCCTGAGTCCATTGAGGCGCAGACAAATGCGCGCTCGTATTAAAGCGTGATCAGAGTCTAAACAAGTACTCCAATACGAGCGACAATCTTCTATTGAGCCTCTCCAACGATGACAATATGGTCTATTTGAGTCCATCGTTGGTTTGGTGCAGGTGGTCTCCGTGTTAGACGATGTCTCTCCTTATGCTTAAAATTAGTGCTTGCTAAAAATAAACGATTGTCTGAGCATAGTTGCAACAGACGATCACCATTATCAGTTCGTTGAGCCGGAATACTAAAACACCCACCTAAATGTCTTTCTGTTTGATGTAAGCTGCCTACCTGGGCATTAAAGTCACCCGCTACGACTAGGACTTCCCTGGCAGAGGCTATGTACGCGTGGCCATGTGAGAGCATTCGGAGAGGGAGGGCGGACTCTCCCCACTCTCGGCCGTACCAGGGCATTTGGGGGCGAACGCTCAACCCCTAGACCACTGAGCTGGCGTCCAACAGTGTTAACATCTGACTTCGGCCAGTCTCATACTAGAGCAAAACGGCCGTCTAGTGCTTTCAGGTTTTCAATGGTGGTCTAAGATTGATCCATTCGTGAAGTTAATCAAAGAATCACTCTGAAACTAACTTATAAGGTCCTGCGGCTTTACCTAGCCTCAAGTTAGCTATGGCCTTTTCGATCTCGCTAGTAGTCGGGAGGTCTGTGTTAATTTTCCACCACGGTTTTGACGAATTGTGAAATTTCCTGTCATTCAGATATTTATTAAACTATACTAATATACCAGATTTTGTCGTTCTAATTTGCCATGCTGCGTTACAAGCATCAAAAAACAAGTGACTTAATGGTCAATCATGAATAAATGTAACTTATTTGTCGGGCCCAAAATTAAGTACTCTCCTGAGCCATACAATTTTGCAAAGGCTACTGATAACGCCTTGATGCCTAAAACAAAATAAGTGGACCGGTGTTCAAACGCGTGATCTAACAGTTAGGGGTTAACTGCCCTAACCATTCTAAACCAATTCTATTGAATGATACATACTACTAAATCATTCGATATACCAATTTAATATAAAGTTTAATTTACACACTATTAAAATGAATTAATGTATTGACTTCTTATTGTCATAACTGCATACTACGAACGGATCTGTTAGCCTAAATTGTTTTTTAGCAACTCATTGAATTGTAAGTTACTTCCGAATAATCGAACAGATATCTAAGCCATTAATAATGTGACATAGTCACCTACAAAAATCAAATAGCCCCATCTTGAAACAACTTTAACAGTAAGTGTGCAACATCCCCACCGTTAGAATTGTTACTTATCAAAATAATTTTAACATTAGTCTACATGAAATATTGTAAAGCTAAATAGTAGATACGACTGCTTACCATATCATCGGAATTTCTCAAGACCAGTGACTTCAAACATTGGTATTCCTATGAGACAATGAATAAAAATGAGACAGTTTATTACATCAACAGTTTTACGGAAATGAATGACTTGATTTTCTTGTAATTGCCTTGAAATTTTTGTAGAAATGACTTTGTAAGTTTTTTGAATGTCATTGTCAGTCGATTTAGCATACTCAGTTGTTGAGGTAGCCGTTTGGTTGACCATACTTGTAGGTAGGTCGCGACAACATAACACACTCGGGAATGATAAAGCTTGATACCTATCACATTAATATTATTATTTATCAAACATACCGCACAAATTTTAAGTATTCATCAGGTGATGTAAGAGCCTTCTCGTAATTAGGTGGGTCATTCAAATCAAAATCTGAAACTGGTAGTGCTTGCACAAGTAAACCTATATCTGAATCCTCTGAATCGGACATTTAATTGAATGTATCAAACTGCAATTATTCCCTTTAAAGTAGATAGACAATACAAAAGGAAAATGAAGTCAGATGGATCAGAAAGTATGCTTGTAATTACTTTTGATTTGTATTTTACTGCTTTTCGTCTGATGTATCTTAAAAGTACACAAAACACTTAAGAGGGGAGCGAAAAGCTAAAAAAAATCAGATCTTCACTAGGCTTTACAATATTGTTCGCTCGCATATGTTGTTCATATTTTCACAATGGGGATTTCTAATATTTAAAAAATAAATTGCTCGTGTTTAACCCAACAATGGGGATTAGGAAAGGTTTCTTAAACCTAACACTACTGACTAAATTCACCACTGATATTTCGGAAGCAGCTTTGAAGAAAATGATAGATGAAGCCGATATGACTTGGAACTTTTCGAGTATATGAACGAAATCACATGACTGAAATCGAGGCTATTTGTGAAGTTAATATAACGGATGGTTTAAAATATTTTTCTCACTCTCAGATATCCTACAATACGTTAATACAATAACGAGACTAGTCACGTTATATCCGGTTCAGGATTCACGACAAAATAGAGAACCAGGGTATAAACTAGATAATACTTTATTTAACACAATTACAAGCACCCAGTGAGTCAGGAATAGAGATTAATGAGAGGAAATGAAGTCACATATTCAAAAGTCAGTAAGCTTTCAGTAAGTCCACGATTAGTGACCTTCACTACTTCATATTAGAGGCGAAATACTAAACATGCTCTGAAAATTTTCATTCAAATACATGTGCGCTGACAACAATGTGGTGTATGGTCTAGTTCTGATTACAGTTACTTTTGTAAGGCCACTATCACTCCATGAAAATGCCGTCCATCTGATAACGAGGTATTTGGTGTGGACGAAGGTCACTACAACACATCAACCTCAAAGGGTTGCAATTATTTTACAAAATATGGAAAACAAGTACACTGACCGCGATTCGGTTGATTGGGGAATGAATATAAGAAACTAGGTGATGGAAAACCCCCATGAAATAAAGGGTAGAAGTACTAAGATAACACTTCTCCATGCAGCGTAACTGCTTGGGTTGGATCATGTGACTAGAAATTCGGGCCACTGCTTATACTTTTACTACTTCTACCACTATGGGATTCGAATCGACAACCGCAACTCTGCTAATGTGGTATGGCAACTCGGACTGATGTACGTACGTACGAAGTTCTACGTTTTTGCTGACTCACTATGTTGTTTGCCAAGTGAACATTCAGGGAGAAGCATTAACTCTATAAAACACAACCTGGTACTAGAACAACACCCCTATACGACTGACGAACATAATCTCACCATTACCATTGCTCATAATTATGGTGCTGATATTCTACTTTTACTACAGAAAATGCTGAGAAATTTTAATCTCAAAATTTTATTGAAACTTTGAAGTCATCGTTGGACTCACGTCCTGAGCATCAGGCAACTCCGCTCAAGTTCAATTGTAAGGAAATATTTAATACTGTTGTGGATGGAAATAGTCTAACTTCACCAAATGTTGTTGGGAGTAACTCGCTTGACCCACATGACACTGTTATAAAGAAAGCTAATAGCAAGAAGCCGGTAGCTAACCGGCAGGATCTGACATCACGGTCAAAGGCCGTGAACACGACTTTTAAGGCAGTTAAACAGGTGCCTAGTGTAATCATCTGGAACTTGGCAGAATCGAAAGACACCGATCCCGCTAAGAGACATGCCCACGACCTGCAGTTAGTCGGATCTCTCATCAGAAATATTCTGCCAGAGGAGGTCCCAGGGGTACATATCTCGAAAGTCAACAGACTTGGTATGTTGAAGGCGAAACCCAACAGAGAAGGATCCTCAAATTAGTACTCGGTAATTTTGAGGAAAGGGACGTATTACTAAATAACTCACGCAAAACTCGTGACTCAAACATTCGTATTCGACCTGACTGGCCACTTGAGGATCGGATCAAGTGGAAGAATGCCCTAACAGAGTTAAAAACTCGAAGGCCAAACGGTGAAGCGAACCTTACGATTAAGGGTTTTCGGGTTGTCAGGTCTTGGAAGCCAATGCTTCCGAGACCTGTGTGGGTAGAACGCATGTCTCCAAAAACACCCTAAATGTGTGTTATACGAATGCTCGTAGTCTTCGGAATAAGATGTCTGAACTAAGTTTGATGGTAGACGACTTAAATTCGGATATAATTGTTATCACCGAAACTTGGCTCACTGTAGATATAGACTGTTCTCCAGTCATTTCAGGCTACATATGTGTCAGAAGTGATAGAGTTAGAAGTCGCAAGGGAGGAGGCATAATATTATATATTAGGGACTACTTCCGCATTAACTCGACCATATCGGAGGCGCATGTAAGTGGTATGTGTGAGGTAGTATGTTGTACAATTAGGTCTAGAGACGGGTTAGTGACGATAGGAGGAATATATCGTAGTCCGTGTTGTCTCGCTGACGACTTTATCCTAAAACACATCTGTTCTTGGAGTAAAGCAGAATGTTGTCTCATCGTTGGAGACTTCAATGCACCCCATATAAACTGGATAGAGCTCACAGCTCCAGGTGGGGGTTTCGATAGCGTCCTTCTGTCATCAATTATTCAATGTGCATTTGTACAATGTATCGTTAAGCCGACGCATATAGACTTGGAACATAATCCGTCATTGATAGACCTTGTCCTCACACACCACTGTGAAGATATCGTTGACATTCAACATCTTCCCCCACTGGTGAATAGTGACCATGTCGTACTTTCCTTTAAATTCCGGATACATGGTATAGAATTTGCATCAGCTCCACCCCGTCCTAATATCTGGAGAGCTAATATTACGGCAATCAGGGACTATGCTATCTCGATTGACTGGTCGGTCGATGCTGATGGATCGATTGATGATGCATGGAATAGGTTTAAGTCTACGTTCGAATCCGTAACTCAACCGTTTATCCCATGGTCAGCACGTAAGTTATCATATTGCCCTCCATGGATTAATAAGGAAACCCGGAAGCTGTTGAAGCGTAGGAAACTCTTCTGGGACTTATTCTTGTCAACAGGTCAGGCATCATTTAAGTGCGAATATAAAAAAATCCGGAATATATGTAAAAAGACCATAGCTAAATCCCACACGGCTTACGAACGACAGTTGGCATACGATAGCCGTACCTGTCCGAAGCGACTGTTTTCGTACGTTAAAAGGCGGACGAAACGTAGTGATGGTATCCCCTCATTACTGTTAAGCGAAAATTCAGCTTTATTGGCTGAATCTGACCTAGCGAAGGCGGAGTTATTTGCTAACTATTTCAGTGAAGTCTACTCTACGTGTAGTGTTACAACTACTTGTCCCGTTGACAATGAGATACCAGCCATAGGACCTTTACACGTGACAGAGGATATAGTTCTTCCTTTGATAACTAACCTAAAACCTTGTAAGATACCGGGCCCCGATGGGTTACACCCACGTTTGCTGTCGTCGCTTGCGGACATTATCTCAAGACCGCTCACGATGCTCTTCAACATGTCCCTTTCACAGGCTCAACTACCTAGAGACTGGAAAGACGCCATAGTTAGTCCTATATTTAAGGATGGTCATAGACGGATAGTATCTAACTACCGGCCTGTTAGCCTGACCAGTATAGTAGTTAAGTTACTTGAAAAATTAATTCGGGCTAAGCTACTGAGCCACATAGATTCGTACAATCTGTTAACTCCCGAGTAACATGGGTTTCGTAACAAGCATTCATGCTTGACTAACTTACTCATTGCGAGAGAGGATTGAACAGCTGCCCTAGACAACGGCCAGTCTGTCGACGTGATATTTATAGATTTTAGCAAAGCGTTTGATAAGGTTTCACACTTAGGTCTTATGCAAAAGCTCTCGAGCTTTGGTATAACAGGTGCTATACAGGAATGGATAGGAAGCTTCTTATGTGACCGCAGACAGAGAGCGAGGGTCAATGGAACTCTATCCGAATGGAAACCGGTCAAAAGTGGTGTACCCCAAGGCACCATCTTGGGCCCTTTACTTTTCCTTCTGTATATTAATGAACTACCTTTATTACTTAAGTCGTCGACGTTATTGTTTGCGGATGATGTTAAAATCTGGAGAACAATAAGAAATGAGACTGATCGTTGTTATCTGCAAGCAGATTTAGACGAATTAGTTAGGTGGGCTCATGATTTGGGCCTGGAAGTTAATTCCAGGAAGAGCGTGTTCATGCACATCGGGCACGATATTAGTTACCACTATACCATTAATGGTACATCTCTGCCACGCGTTCATGCGCATAAAGACTTAGGAGTAATTATAAGTCACGACTTAAGAACTACTACGCACTGCAATGCGGTTGCTTCCAAAGGCTATCGAGCGCTATGGTCGCTTCGCAGAGCATTTAAATGCTTTGACGAGGAGAAGTTTCGAATTTTATATCCCACCTATGTAAGGCAGCTAGCCCTTGTCTGATAAAGGATACTAAATCGCTTGAGCGTGTCCAGCGTGTAGGGACAAAATTAGTAAAGGGTCTTTCTAAACTCCCTTACGATGAGCGTTTAAAACGTCTAAACCTTTTCCCCTTATCTTATCGTAGGACTCGAGGTGACCTCATACTGGCATTTCGTATCTTTAATTATGATCTGGGTGTTAATATGTCTTATCTTTTTGTTCCCTCCAGCACTAATAATCTCCGGGGTCATAGCAAGAAGGTTCTGAAACCGCGATCTAATAAACTAAAGGTGGGGTCCCGTTTTTCTCATCGAGTGGTCAATGACTGGAACGCTTTACCAGAACAAGTGGTATCAGCACCATCAGTGAACATTTTCAAAAAGAAGCTGGACCTTCACTGGAAGGAAATCTGTCAGGATTAACACAGGTTCATCAACCTACTATCCTTATTACTGAAGACTGAAACTTTGATGACACCATAATTTATAAACGACCTTTGAGCGATGCTAAAGTGACCTTGGGAGTGTTCACCGACTAACTAGGACTAAATGAGGGTCACAAACCAGTGTAAGGAAATAGAATTATGATCTACAGCTGATAGTCAAGGTTAAAAACTAGGTTTAGGGTTTCCATCACGAACTGACGTCAGCCATAATGCCAAAACGCTATATCAAGCTCACATGGGTAACTCTAGCTTTTAGACAGACCAATTTATTTATTCTTCTTGAGTCACATTTTCACTTTGTCAATTATCCGCTTATTAACTTGACTGTTTGTACGAGTGTGTATCACCCGCCTCATTTATCACATACTTTTAGCTTACTTTTGTCTAGCCATAAATATTGAGTCAAGCGTTACCAAACGGAGTTAACACGTTGCATTCTCCGCTTTTCACTCTTAATGTCTGTCCGAATAAACGAGTGACAAGGTGAATTCTTTCAATACAACCCGTATTTGGCTTTTCATTTCTACCGCCGCACAAATGGGGTTAGCATAGATGTAATATACGGAGTTGAATGAAAATTTATTTTCGTGGCACAATGTGCCACGATGAACGTATGAATATTAATACGTTTTTAAAATGGGAGTCATATCACTGGACCAAAAAACTGGTGTTACCTTCTTCTCGATTATTGTACCATTGTAAGACACAAGGTTCCAAAAACCCATTAAATAAAAACCGGACATCATGATGCCTGAACAAACCTGCGAGTTAACGTAGCTCAGTCATTTGAATAAGCACGGGTTGATATCAAAGTTATACCTCATTTCGTTAATGAAAGATTCATGCAACATATCGTACACTAAAACAAACAAACTTCAGCCAGTTTAAGAAATATCTATCGTAAGCATGAAAAGACGATCTGATAAAGAGCTATGCGTAGCTGATTAGTCGATCATATATTGGTCAATAACTCCTCAAGTAGTTCTGTAAGTCTTCGACATTAATGTCGACCTCTTCAATTTTATTGGACAAACTCTATATGAAGGTGGAAGGTCACGCACCTGCACCAGATTAGCATCAGTTCTTCTGTGCTACGCACCCTTCATAAATAGTAGCCAGCTTAGCTCACATACATCTCAAAACACCAATTATCTTCCAAATATACCTTTGAATTCATTTGTCTCTTACTTCCGTTTTGGCGCGGTTCGGGATCCTTGATTCTAAAGATGATATCAGTTTCACTTTCATTTAGAATAGGACCTGTCCAGGCTTGATGGCTTGTGTTAGTCCTGGAGATGATGGTCTCTCAGTTGATCCGACTTACTTTTGAAACAATCGACTGATAGAGCCCCAACCACGTGCTGAGGTAATGAATTGCAGTCGTTGATGATTCGATGGAAAAATTGATAGTCAGCTGACAAGTAATTTGTTCTGGGCTTGTGCACTTTTTTGGAGTGTCCTCGTAAATTTGAAGGCATATCAGTTGCAGATTTACCACTAAGCAATTTGAAAACTGTAATCAAGTCACCTCTGGTTCTGGACAGCGGGAATAGGTTTAGCTTGGTCAGTCTATCATCATACTGGAGCTTTGCTCTGAACACTTTCCAAAAGTTCACTGTCTTTTTTAAGCAGGGGCTAGCTGCTTGTATGCAGTACTCAAGTTTAGGACGCACGAACACTGTATACAAAGTCAAAAACGTTTAGGCGCCGAGATGACTAAAACCCTACGTATGGACCATAAAGTTCGAAAACCTTTGGCGGCTATTGCACGGCAGTGTGCAGTAGTCTCTAAGTCTTGGTAAAGGATGACTCCAAAGTCATTGCGTGTCTGGACAATAGGTAGCTCAGTTTTATCCTTCGTTTATGTATCTGTACCTTGATGACCAATATGCATCACAATACACTTGGAAGTATTTATCGGCAACTGCCAGGCTTGGGACCATTCAGATAATTTCTCCAGGTCGTTTTGTAGTTCTAAGATATCACCCTTACTTTGTATCGCTCTCCATATCTAGACATCGTCAGCATATAACAAGATTGATGACGATAGTAAACGAGGTAGGTCATTTACGTAAATGAGGAATAACACTGGCCCCCAAACTGTACTCTAAAGGAAACTCCACTAAGCACACTTTCCCAGCTAGCCAACTTGTAGTTCACCCCTACTCTTTGTCGGCACTCAACTAGGAAGTCTTTTATGCACATCAATAGATTGCCTTTAATCCGGACATTTCTGTTATAAATTCGCCCAAATATTACGTATCACGATAGGACCACACGAAATTCTACCGATTGACCAAATTCAGATATTCTAGTTCGACCCCAATACTGTTCCCCAACTCCAATAAATCAGAACACAGCCGTCAAATGAGAATTGTTTATGGGGTCAGCAGAACAAAAATGATTTACAGGCAAGGCATATTTATACAGTTACGATGACTATTAACAGTAACCGATGGAAAGGAAGGACACGTAAAGGTTATAATTAGGACAACTCAAAATTGACCAATAGGGAAACGACACATGAAAGTCATAGTTAGGACAACTGTAATAATGGCCAATAGGAAATAACATGTAAAATATGTGAAGAGACTGAAAACATGCCAATTTACATTCGAGATAATCTTTGGGATATTCCTATGAATATCCTAACAATTTCTTAGCCTATATAACAGCTGGTTGTGCGGAACTTTGTCAAAAGCTTTTCTGAACTCGATGTAGGCTACGTCTACAGGTAACGTTTGGTCTTTACGGGCACACCAGCTTTCACGAGCGAATAATAAGTTAGTGAGACAAGAATAACCTCTTCTAAAACCGTGCTGCTTCTTCAAAAGGATCCGGTTTTCATCGAGGTACTTAAACAGCTCCTTCCGAATGATCTTTTCTAAGATTTTAACAACCATATTAGTTGGAGACAGAACAAGAATAAACAACTATTTATGTATAGCAAAACGAGTTATAAAAATAAAATAAAACACAGTAAATTAATCAGTAAATAATTTATTTTTGCGGTAAGATATGACGTTAGAATAAGTGTTTGTGCAGTCATAGTTTGGAGTGATGCTATGAAAGTCTCAATTAAGTGCAAAAGATAATCAATATGTATGTGGTGTATATGCATAGTGAAGATAAAACGAGTCTGAGGAGTTGAATTCAGCGTAACACAAGTTATTGTCTTAATCCAAAACTTCGTAATATTAAGAATAATATTTATTTAGAAGGAAAAAAAGAGAGAGAAAAAAAAAGAAAATGAACACATAGTGAAAGAGTCCAACCATGATAATAATAGCTTAGTGGATATAGACTTTTGAGATAAACGAATAAAATGAATAAATAAGGAAAATCAGGTACAAAATAAAAGTAACAATAATATTAAACCGTTATTGCACTCGGATAAATACGTGTAGGATGTCGAGCTTATTTAGCGGACCAAGGACACCGAGTTCTTTAACGGTCACACTGACCAGTGTTCGTGTGGGGGGATTTTCATGAACTGGTGGGAAGGGTGCTTCTATGGTATATACATTGCTAAAGTAGTTTGAGAATACTTGAGCCTTGCTAAGGTCGTCCTCCACTAATGATGAAGCAGTACTGTCTCCCCCTAGTGAAGGAGCATTTCTTCTTCTTTTGCCTTTTGGTTTATATAGAAATACAAGTGCTTAGGACATTTTATGGATTCCTTAACAAATTTCTCTTCGTACAGCTTTCTAGACTTACGGAGGGTTGAGGCACAGGTGTTCCGAGCTTTTTGGTACTGTGACTTTGCCTCATCGGTCCCCAGTAACCCAAATCTATCCCACATTTTCCTTCCCTTACGGAGAAGGATGCGAACCTCCCTACTGAATCATGGTGGGGAGTTTCTCGGCCCCCTAGGTGTAGTCCAAGGGATAAGAGGGGCGGTATTTTTTAAGTATAAATTCCTAAATACATCCCAAGCCGTTTCGATTGAGGGCTCTGGGTCTATTTTCCAATCTACTGATGATGCTGAGTGCATGATGTCTTGTATGTTTGCTATCCAGACGTTAGGTCTGGATTCAGCTGACATGTCAAGATTCACTTCGCAGATTTCCCCAGTCTACCATGGGTGCATTAAAGTCCCCTAGGACTAAACATCGAGCACTTCGTGGCCAAGGGTTGAGACTGCTTAGCAGGACCTCATTTACCCCACAACTTGGACTGCGATAGGTCAAACCAACCAGCAGCTCTTGTCCCTTGCATTTCAAGTGGCAACTAACTAAGTCACACATTCCACTCTCATGGGGTACACTGTCGATAGTGGCAAATGGAATAGCATTCCTAATGAGTAGAGCTAACCCCCTCCTTTACGCTTTTGTATTCTGTCGGCCCTTACCAATGTAAAACCCTCGATATCAAGTTCTCTACTATCTATTAACTGTGTCAGCCACGTTTCTGCGACTACGATTATGTCTGGCTTAGTACAGTCAATCTGTACACCTAGTTCTAATCGCTTATTGAACGAGCCTCTGGCATTGGTGTATAAGATCCGAAGCCTATTTAAATGGCCTCGTGCTTCACCCAGAGTGGCTTCGGCATCATCCTCTGTCGAAGCCTCACAACCGGAAACTTTACAATTTACAACAGTGTTGACATGCTCTGAATGTCCGTAACATCTTTAGTAGCAGGTTCATGGTAATCTGGTACACTAAATTACTTAGTTACTTACGCCTGTTACCCCTCGTGGAGGAGGATAGGCCAACCACCAGTTTTCTCCATCCAACTCTGTCCTGAACCTTCCTTTCCAGTTCTTATTCATCCTTTTCATTTCTGCTTTTATTTCCCGGCGTAATGTGCTATTCGGTCTTCCAAGTTAGGGATTGCCTCGTGATGCAGTTTGGCGATTTCCTTAATGTATGTCCTATCCACTTCCAACGACTTTTCCTAATTTCCTCTTCAGCTGGAAGCTGGTTTGTCCTCTCCCTTAAAACGCTGTTGCTGATAGTATCCGGCCAGTGAATGCTGAGTATTTTGCTTAGACAACCGTCTATAAATAATTGTACCTTCTTCACGATGGTTGTAGTAGTTCTACACGTTTCAAATCCGTATAGTGCAACTGTTCGTATTAAAGATTCTGACCTTGAAATTGGTTGAGAGTTGTTTTGAGTTCCATATGTTCTTCAATTGTAGAAATGCTGCCCTTGCTTTGCCAATCCTTGCCTTTACATCTGCATCCGATCCTCCTTGTTTATCAATGATGATGGTCCCAGGTACTTGAATGTTTCCACCTCCTCCAGAGTTTTGCCATCAAGTGTGATTGGGTTGGTGTTCTCCGTGTTGCATTTAAGGATTTTACTTTTTCCTTTGTGAATGTGGAGACCTATCGATGCGGAGGCTGCTGCTACGTTTGCGGTCTTCATCTGCATTTGTTCGTGTGTATGAGAGAGGAGGGTTAGATCATCCGCGAAGTCCAAATCATTTAATTGATTCTGAGAAGTCCATTGTATTCCGTATTTCCCCTCAGATGTCGAATTCTTCATAATCCAGTTAATCACTAAAAGGAAGAGAAATGGGGAGAGTAGACAGCCTTGTCTGACTCCGGTCCTTACTGGAAATGCATCTGTTAGCTGTCCTCCATGCACCACTTTGCACTGTAATCCATCGTATGAGTTTTGGATAATGTTGACGATCTTCTGAGGAACTCCATAGTGTCGAAGAAGTTTCCACAATGTTCTCCTATCCACGCTGTCAAACGCCTTCCCATAGTCGATGAAGTTGACGTATAGTGATGAGTTCCACTCAACTGATTGTTCAACGATGATCTGTAGTGTCGCAATCTAGTCTGTGCACGACGGATCCTTACGGAATCCAGCCTGATGATCCCTAAGTTCGGCGTCTACTGCGTCTTTCATCCGATTCAGCAGCACTCTGTTGAAAACTTTTCCTGGTACTGATAACAAATTGATGCCTCTGTAGTTCTCACTTGGCACAAATCTCCTTTCTTTGGTATTTTGATAAGATATCCTTCTTTCCAGTCCATTGGCACTTGTTCCTCTTCCCAAATCTTCTTGAATAGAAGGTGAAGCATGTTTGCAGTTATTTCAATTTCTGACTTCAGTGCTTCTGCTGGTATATTGTCAGGTCCTGTCGCCTTCCCACTTTTGATTTGTCTGATGGCCATCTTG